CCCCCTTTCCGACACTTCCAAAATAATTTTTCACTAATCCTGTGTGACTGTTTCGTTTTCTCCGTACACCCAAAATCCAATTGTAATTTACCAATTTACAATGTAAGTGACAGTTGACTGAACATCGGTCAAACGGAGAGGGACAGCTTGGGAAATAGAGAAGCAGATAAGCACATACACAAATAAGGCTTCACAAACAACTCAGTGGATTCTTCAGGGATGTCGAGACCAGTCGAGAGGAAACGAACCTAATTCTTCCATAGGAACGTCATCTACTTAATTCGGGACACGTAATGGACACAGACCGGGCTTTCCGTGTGTGTTCTCCCACACCAAACAGGCGGACTGGTGCTGAGAATTGCGCCAAAGCTTTGACAATTAAAATCAACAACCCCTTCTTGTAAGCGACTGAATTTATAGTAAATCGATAGGTTACCCGGGTAAATCACGTGGTCTACGGTGAAACTTCCGATGGCCAAACACACCACGATGTGTCAAAACAAAACTATTCGCATTTAGTTTTATTTATTCAGTTTTTGTTGCTTTCACATTTTATGGTTGATGTAGCTTTGTAGTAAAACTTACCTAACGAGATATGGCTAAATATGCCTTGGTAATAAATTGTGCACTGTATTATTTGTTTCCCGGCATTATTTAAAATTATCTAACTGCCCAGTAAACATTTTAGCCACGCCAAATAGGGGACCTGGCAAAACTAAACTCTGGCAAAACCTAAGAGACATTTGTGATGACATTCCCAGTTTATAACCAGCAGTATATTAACCGCAATGACCAGAAGATTATGCTACATCCAGTACACCTGGCAACTAAACTTTGGGCACACCCAAGAGACTTTGAGATGGATATGCCAGTTTATGACCAACAGTGGAATTCGCTCATCAACCGGAGATCACTGAACAGAATAAAGATCCCAGGAGAGACGTAATGTGTATAGGGCACAAATAACAGGCGGTTAGTCAGCAGACACAACAAAAACATGGACTTAAATGTTTCTTGTGTCTTGTGATATTGTTATAGTACATGCGATGCTTGTTTTTTATAACGCCGAGGGTAGTGACTTCTTCTTCCTGGCACCCAAGGATGTCGTTGGCACCCATTGTAGATTTTCAAAATGTTTGACAATCTCTAAAATTCGTCCTAGGAAAAATATTAAAATCAAGAAGAGAGATGAAAATAAGGTAAGTTGTTACACAAAAACCGAGAATCAAAAAAATATGAAAGTAAAAGTACAGTAATAATCGATAAATCAAAATCAGCATATTCTTTATAGGGACGTTCGTTCTCTTAACGGCACGCCTGATAGTCTCTCTTTCTCTATACAAATCTCCCAGCCAGGTGCCCCCACCACCCCCCGACTTTCGTAACCAGTGCATCTTCAATGCCATGAATCCACATTCGCAGAGGTCGGCTTCTGCCTCGTTTTCCAGAAAGTCTAACCGCCTTCGCCGTTTTTATGGTCAAAATACCTCAACTTTCGGACAGGGCGCACTTGATTTGCCTGTTCTCCTTCATGTTCAGGCCATGCAGGATGTCGAGGTTTTTCTTCCTCGCGGTCCATGGTATTCTAAGAATTTTTATTTTCTGAAGCATTTTTGTTAAAAGCTTCTCATTTTAGAGCACAGTAATAGTACCGGTCATTATGAATTAACCGGATCTTTTCACAACATCGCTCTCATCATTACAAGCCGGAAATCCAACCGGTACCCTGTAATTTTTACCGCTCCGTGAGCTGTCATGCCTTGATTTCTGTCAGGTCAACCACTCCCCTCCCCCAACCTTTTCTCTTCTCTTTTTCTAGGGACTATACTTTCATTACACTTCTCTCCAAACTACTTTGGCGTTAATTATGGACGAAGTTTCTCATGTTCCGAGAAACAAAACTATCATCGTATAATGTATTATCTTGCTTTCAAAACTTAGCCACCGACTACCAACGACAACCGCCTCCCAAAGGGGCAGAAAAAAAAATTGCAGTCGAAACTTTCATATCTTCCCAGTTATTTCAGTCGCTGTGTACCTGCTTCGACATTTTCAGTGACAGACAGACTTTCTACCCCACCAGGACATCACACAAGCGATAAACACCCGATGACACAAAGTGCCACCATGTGGATGAGGATCGCCGTGGAGAGGTCCCAGAAACCGCGTTCAGACATTTGGCCATATGTATGGCCTGCCTATATTGCGGCCCCTGGCAGAAGCCAGAGTAGGGCTTCAAATGACGAAAGATTTTAGTCTTGAAAAAGACGTTGGATAAATATGTTGGTATTTTCAGTGACTGAAAGCGTTAGAATACATGGTAATGATAAAACTGATCATTTATGAAAAAGAATAGGAGAATAAGAAAATGAAGAAGAAGAAGAAGATGATGAAGAAGAAGAAGAAGCAGAAGAAGAAGCAGAAGAAGAAGAAGAAGAAGAAGAAGAAGAAGAAGAAGAGAGAAGAAGAAGAAAGAAGAAGAAGAGAGAAGAAGAAGAGAGAAGAAGAAGAGAAGAAGAAGAAGAAGATGCAATTTTCTTTCACGAGTAATATATTATAATTCTTTCCCCTTTCCACCCCCCAACTCCCAGAAATTTTTCGAAATTTCCTTATTATTTTAGTCAGGTTATCAAAGGCTTATATATATATATATATATATATATATATATATATATATATAATATATATATATATATATATATATATATATATATATATATATATATATATATATATTATATATAACATGTCAAGATAATTTGGTGTAATTTAAAACGGGCCTCGGGGCTTTATGCAGATTAGGGCCTCAATAAGTCTAGATCCAGCCCTGGTGATATTTTCTATAGTATAACGAATGGCTATTTAAATAGGGACGTACATATGTTTTCTCCAGGTCGTTCCGGTGTGTTGGGAAATGAGCAGGCAGAAGGACTAGCCGGTTCTGCACCAGTTGGTGGTAAACTGATGTATGACAAGCTGCACGTAGTGAGAGCCCTTTGAGAGCGAGTGAACAGTGCCGAGGAACAGATAGATCATTACGGTCTGAGGAGAATTTCGTTGCGAGCAGTTACATGGGTATCTAGACGACGCTCGACACTCAGGGGAAGGGCGAGACGGATATACAATCAGACAGTTACTGGTACCATCGGAATTTTAACTCTTTGCCTGCTGCTGAAGATGGGGACGGAGCGCTTATGGAAGTATCCCGAGTGCTGTGATGTCAATTCTTGATTCAATATTTAACATTGTATAGAAACAAGTTCAAACCTCAGAGGAAACTGTTGCCCAGGCAGGTTATGCAGGTACTTCCACCCCACAGGGTGTGCGATCAAATCCTGCATACAGTTGATGTCTGCCAGAAACCTGCTGAAACCCGCGTAAACGATCGACTCCAACTTGGTAGAGAGGAACACATTAGGCAAGCACGCAGCTACGCTCCTGACTGCGTTGATGAAAGCCGGTCCCGTGTCCAGATCCACAGTTAGACAGTAAACATTGTGCCGCCTGTAGATGGCTCTTAGCAGAAACAGAACCTGCAGATACAGAATACATTCAGAACATATATTGTGTAACTGTTTATTTAAGACAATTATGTCATTTGTGGGCATGTATGCAGAAGGGGGACAAATCGGCCACCATGGCAGGCATGGGAACCAGACCCCCATGGCGACCCAGGGTCCGTTGGGAAGACAACATCTAACAGTCCCTAACTGACAGAGGACTGGATTGGAACAAAGCCAGGAAAAAAACTGCTAATAGAGACGTCTGGCGATCTCTCTGGCAAACCTCTACACCCCAAGGTAGAAGAGGAGCGATTAAGTAAAGTAGTAAAGTATGTAATTTGTATAATTGTTTCAAATATTGCTTGATAATAAAGCTAACGGGTTCGATGCCTGAAAAGATTCTAGTATGCCAGTAAACAGTACATTGACTAGAAAAATGACTAGAAAATTGGCTCTCCTCCGAACTTCGTCCCTATATTATGGCAGCCAAACAAATACCTTAACAGGGTCTCAGTCGTATGTAAAATGTAGAGTGCCTGCCGAGAAACAAATCGTGGCAAAACTAGGGTTACCTCCAAATAACGGGCCAATATTCTCGAGGGTAAACAAATACTCTAAGAGGGTCTCAGCGATATGTTAACTGCGGACCTGTTTTTGCGACGATGCCGCACCGTCGACAATATTCCCCGCACCGCTACGCGCGGCGCTAAAGTAGATGGCTGTGACTCACACACAAATAAATTGGAGGAAGTTGCAGGAGCTGCTGCTCGTGAGTCCCAGAAATCAAGTTTAACCCCCACCCCCGTCCGCGCCGCGCGTAGCGAGTGGTCTCCCCGTCATGTCGCTATTATCTTGTGTATTATTGCGTTCCTCGAAATTGTCAACGGACAGTAATCCTAGTTTTGCCGCGATGTGTTCGTCAGAGGAAGTGCGCATTTTACACACGACTGAGGCTCTGTTAAGGTATTTGTTGGGCCGGCATAATATGGGGACGAAGCTCGGAGGTGAGCCGAAAATTAACTAGAAAGGTTTGTGCCAACTTCCTGTGTCGATATTGTGTCTCTGTGTTAAAGTTAGGGTGTGCAATATAGAATGCTTAAGAACATGAAAAGCGGCTGACCTAATGGATAGAACGCTGGGCTGCTATGTCGGAGATCCAGGTTGAATCCTCAGTAGGGCTGGAGATTTTTTTTTCTTTTTGGGGCAAAAATAAAAGATGGTGGCGGAGTGCCCCGAGTGCTATATTGTTGATTCTTAATTCAACATTCAACATTCCGTGTCATTTCAGTTTGAGCTAAGATAAAGAGCCCACATCATAGCATCGGGACATTCCCAAACACGCCTCGTTCCCATCTTCAGCAGCACGCGCACAGTTCCAGTCCCGATGGTATTGGTAACAATCTCATTGCATGTCCGTCTCGCCCTTCCTTGAGTGTTGGGCGTCGGCCAGATCCCCTAGTAGCTAGTACTTGGCTGGACACTTTGGTAGTGTGAAACATTATAATGAATGCGAACAAATCTAAGCCGAAGGACCTAAGAACCGATGACCATTTGATTTCTTGCCCGAGAGTAGCAGCTACGTCTTATGATTTGCAGCGTGATAAACTCGTTGATGGAGAACTTCGGCAGAGTGAAGCCTGATAAAAGTCCCCCCCCCCCCTCTCTCTCTCTCTCTCTCTCTCTCTCTCTCTCTCTCTCTCTCTCCTCGTTAGCTCACAAAGAGAGACTGATACCCTCTGACATAGGTTCGAGCTAAGCTTCACATGTGCACCCTGTGGATCAACACATCCGATTTCAGTAATCGCCTTTTATAACATGCTTGTCAAGGAGAACTGGGTTTATAAACCATATAGAGCATACAGTACTTGTTATTAACCATAGGTACATGGTGGCTGGGGCGGCGTAGGGGAAAATGGAGGGGGAAAAGAGAGAGGGTAGGCATCTTTTACTTTCTTGACATTGATAAGCTCCTTTTCTTTTCTGGGGGCTGAAAACCAACGCCAGCATGTATCGGCTGTTTGCGGTAATACGTTGCTTATATTTTAGTAGTTTGCCATTGTTTTCTGTCCTGTTCGATGCATAAATTATCGTGCTAATTAACACAAAACAGTTTGCTACCAAATCTATTACTCCGCAACATCATCATCATCATCAGTTTCCACTTCTGCCGTTAAGCGTTGTGCGGAGGAACCGTTGCTTGATGGGCAGCTATCGCTACTGTCATTCCGTGTCAATGGAACAGCTCGTTAATGTTATCAGTTCATTTACAAATTGGACGGCCTCTTGCTTTCACTTCAGATCCTTTCACGTGCAACGCCCGCCTTGGTAGTTGTTCTGGCTGCATTCTTACTTAATGACCAAATCATTTGATCTTCTGGTCCTCCATGAATTTGCTGCGTCTGACAATATCAACTTTGTCTCGGATGGTTAAGTTTGTGGCTTTTCTCAGGCATCTCATTTTACAGCTTTTCTTAGGCATCTCATTTTTCAGCTTTTCTTAGGCATCTCATTTTACAGCTTTTTTTTAGCATCTCATTTTACAGCTTTTTTTTAGCATCTCATTTTACAGTTGTTAACTTTACGTAGGTTAGTCTAAGATAATGTCCAAGTCTGGCACTGAAGCACAGTGTTAGTATGAATATGCTGTATATAACCTGTTTTTTTTTTTTTTTTTTTGGCGCTCATACTTATGTTTAAATGTCTAATAACGGTGTCAGTTGGTATGTAAATGCATTGGCTCGTTCGAATCTTGTTTCTATCTCCCGATCTATTCTTCCAACCTCCTAGATACTTCCTAAATATTCAAATTCCTCAACTTGCTTTAGACATAATGTTGAATGTTGAATTAAGAATCGACATCACAGTACTCGGGACATTTTCATAAGTGCTCAGTCCCCATCTTAAGCAGCAAGCGAAGAGTTCAAATTCTTATGGCACCAGTAACTGTCTGACTGTTTATCCGTCTCGCCTTTCCCTTAAGTGTTGAGCATCAGCCAAATCCCTTGGTAACTCCTCGCAGCTCCATTCTCCTCAGACAGTATTGATCTATCTGTGGATCCCCACTGTTCGCCCGTTCCCAAAGGGTCCTCACAATATCTAACTTATCATACATCAATTCATCACCCGTAGTGCAGAACCAGCCAGTCAATCTGTCTGCTTATTTCCCAACACACCGGCATATCCTGGAGAAAAAATCCAAAGGATGCTAACTACCTGGCACCTCTGAAGTGATGCTTGCCACTCTGCACGCCGGTTAATACTTCTCTTAACATGCTCTGTAAGTCAGAAACAATCACGGCATGTGTGTACAGCTAATCTCAAGCCAGCGGAAGGCGGTAGAGACTGCCTTCACCTCCATTCTCAAATTAGACGTGATATCATATAAAAGGCTTTGCGGCACTAGGCGACGTCCATTCACTTTTGCCATGCTTCAGACAGCTACCATTCAACACCCTATGTAGCGGACTAGAAATGCTGGTGACCTGCATGACTTCAGTTTTTGGTAGTATTTATTTGCATGTTATATCTTCTGCATGCTGAACTTAGCTTGTTTAAATGTTCTTGATGTCTACTCCCCTCATTGTAGAACAGTCACCGATCATCTGCAAATTGTAGCTCATTTATTGTCTGGAAAGTAAAGTTCCTTATTTTCTGGATTTTCTCGCTCGACAGCTTTAAATCAGGTTTCTTTTGATATTCTATCCATGTAATATTAAATAAGAGAGGAGAGCCTCACTCCTGTACTGAATGTAAGCATATCAGACATGCCTTCTTGTGTTCTCACTTTGGGAGGTGTGGTCATGGCCATGATGTTATCCAGCAACTGTCCTTATATCCGATAATCCTCAAGATTAGCCCATAATTTCCGCAGCACTGATATATAGAAATTAGGAAACTGCAATAAAAACTGCCAAGTCATAGCCAGCGTTAATTAAATCTGATATACACAAACCTCCCCGAGTGTGTGCCGGAGCTCCATTGGGTGGAGAGTCGAAGGGGGGAAAAGACCGTTTGCTCCCTTGAAACATGCCGTAAAAGACGTCGAATCAGATATTTGCTCAAATTGGATGTGTTGGGCTTAAAGACGTAGATATCGCAGCTTGAACTGTCAATTGCTGAAAACGGCCCATTTCTGCCTTTATTATACCACTTTTCCGGTGATGGCAGGAGTGCATTTGAGTCTGAGGATTTAGGGTCGCATGACTAGTGCTGTCGCCACGGACTGTGCAGGTGACATTTTTATTAAGCTTCCTACAGAAAACAAAATCCCTAGCCTTACTGAGGATTCGAACCAAGGTCTCCCGTATGAGATCCACGTGTTCTAACCGTTCGTCCAGCCTCTCATCGCACATGTTTGCAAACATAGTCTACCTTTTTTAACGGTGAGCGTAGAGAAAAATTAGATAAACTTAGAAACTTGAACGACCCACCTGATGAAGGTCCTTGTGAAAGAGTATGATGTATGCTAGTGGGAACTGAATCTCCTCATCCGTGACTGGCGTATACCGGTTGAATCCATACTTCTCCAGAAACTGGGGGCAGTCTTGACTCTCTAGACCCAACGTGGAGGCGGTGATTCGAGGCAGAAATCTAGGGTAAAGACTGATTTCTGGTCGACTTGCGGAACAGGGGGGTGCACTGAACATGGCTGAGTTCTGGAAATCCCACCCAGCGTTTCTGGTAAGCCTGTAGGCCGCTGGTTGTGTTGATGGGGACGTACAGGGAAGCTGGTGTTGCTGCTGCTGCATGGACAGATCTTCGGACGTGAAGTATGTAATGCATATAAATATCAGACTCAGATACAGCATGCAAAGGATGACCAGCTTCTGTAATCGACGGACTGTAGAATATATATTTACAATCTTGAAAGTAGTAGTAGTAGTAGTAGTAGTAGTAGTAGTAGTAGTAGTAGTAGTAGTAGTAGTAGTAGTAGTAGTAGTAGTAGTTAGTAGTAGTAGTTAGTAGTAGTAGTTAGTAGTAGTAGTTAGTAGTAGTAGTTAGTAGTAGTAGTTAGTAGTAGTAGTAGTAGTAGTAGTAGTAGTAGTAGTAGTAGTAGTAGTAGTAGTAGTAGTAGTAGTAGTTGTTGTTGTTGTTGTTGTTGTTGGTGCAATAGTGGTGGTGGTGGTGGTAGTAGTAGTTGTGGTAGTAGTAGTAGTAGTAGTGGTGTTGGTGGTAGTGGTGGTAGTAGTAGTAGTGGTAGTGGTGGTGGTAGTAGTAGTAGTAGTAGTAGTAGTAGTAGTAGTAGTAGTAGTAGTAGTAGTTGTTGTTGTTGTTGTTGTTGTTGTTGTTGTTGTTGTTGTGTTCAGAAAAATATTCTGTTCAATCCTCAGGGTTATAATTAGAATATAAAGTGTTCATATGGTTCTCAGAGAATTGTTTTGAGTCTGACCGAGTAAACATTTTCACAGTGTCGAGCAGTCTTGTGGATTCTGACCCGGAAGTTCGAAGAAGTACATTTTACTCAATTGGCAGATTTGCAGAGCATTTTTCTTCTCATCTATTATTGGAAGCATCACTTCTTTGAGAGCCTTGAACAAGTCTGGTGAATTGGTTTGTATAGACTGAAATGGTTGGGGCATATTGAAAGAATGTCAGATGACAGAGAAGTAAAAACTGTATACACCAGGGAGATGAATGGTCGTAGACCACGAGGGAGACCAAGAAGACGATGGAGAGATAATGTCCAGACAGACCTGCACACACTTGGCGTCACCAACTGGAAAGAGAAGGCCAACCATAGAGATGAAGGGAGGCGAGCAAATATCTGCAGCAATGAACCTCAAGAGATCGGAATGGCTAAAGAAGAAAAGCTTTCAAGTCAAAGTGCATATTGTGTAAGGTTACTTCTGAATATCTTGCAAACCTTGTCTAAATGTCAAAAGCATGTCTCTAAACAAAATGGCCGTTTACAATCATCATTCATAGTTTTCTTATGGCGCAAGTTTGTGAATTGTGGCCGTGTTGTTTTGTGATGTTCTCAAAATTTCCGTTTCCATAGTTTCCAATGAAAATAGGCAAATAGGCACAGAAGAGGAATAAGTCGTAAAATGATAATAATCTGCGCATTTCAAGTTCTGTTGTAGCATTTCCGATTGGGGAATAAAGATGACGCAATCGTCAGTAAAATCATCAAGTGCCTTGTCGACTGATGTAGGCGATCATGTGTCTCCGCAATAAGCGTTCTTTGACAGCATGTATCCATTTGGGTCTTGAGTTTGTACCGGTGATATACTATATGATAGAAGGCTGTCATAAATCGTCTCGAGTTGTTTTTCTCTGGCTCCTTTTCCCCAATCGCCAGTGGTCACAACATGTTCCAGTTGTCTTCATCCTCAGTGTATTATGAAAACAAGTCAAAATTGTTGAATTTTGAATTAGGAATCGACATCACAGCACTCGGGACACCCACATAAGCGCTCTGTCCCCATCTTCAGCAGCAAGCGAAGAGTTAAAATTCCTTTGGTACCAGTAACTGTCTGATTGTATCCTTGTCGTACGCTCCTCTTTATGTTTGATATTTATGCCAGTAAAAAAATACACATAGAGGGGAGGCATTATTGTGACTAAACATGCTATGCATATACCAAAAGAGCAATTGAATAGGAGTTGTTAGCCTAAAAACACTTGGAGACATACTCAGGAATCGACTGGAGCATTATAAATGTGTCCTATGTGCGATAAGTCTAAAACGATCAACAAAGGAATAACGCCAAAAGCTCTGGAAGACAGAGCCGTAAATGGGATTGTCCGCAAACGTCGAACCATTCAGTCCAAAAGTGCTCGGATCCCTTCCCCATTAAAATCCCTCAGCTTGTAGCGACTGAGGACACCAGTATTATTCTTTTGCCTCCTGCATAGAGTTTATGTTTGGTCACACTCTTTTAAACGTTTTTCTTGCAGTCTGGTCATGGTTGTAGATTCAGTCATCCCATGGTACTCGCAAACGTTTTACTTCTCATAGATCACTGAGTCTGGTCCACGGCTCGGTTGCCCTTCACAGTAGCTTTACCTGCAAGCTTATCAGCTTGCTCATTTGCTTGCACACCCGTATGCCCTGGCACAAATATGAAACTGATGTTTCAGCGGCTACCGCCTCAGAGACTCCGATCACTGTCTTTGGACCCAGCACATCTCTATCTTCCTGAGCATACGCATTAGGCCTTTCACCGCGCCTTTCAACAGACGGTATCCACCTGCATAGTCAAGTATGAAAGCGGGACGGATCGACTGTCTGTCTGAGATTCAAATGTGAGCACAGACAGAAGGTTATCTGTTTACTGGATTTATTAATATAGACTCAACGTTACACAAGTAGTTTATACATAGGAAGAAAGGCGGGCTTTCCTTAGGGGAATGTTGAATGTGAATTAAAAATCGACATCCTAGCAGTAGGGACAGTCATTAAAGCGCCCGTCCCTATATTAAGCAGCAAGAGAAGAGTTCTAACTCCGAAGGTACCAGTAACTGTCTGATTGTGTATCCGTCTCACCTTGCCCTTGAGTACTGAGCGTCGACCAGATTCGCTGGTGCTTCCTCGCAGCGCCAATCTCCTCAGACCGTAATGATCTACTTGTGCCTCCGCATTGTTCACTCGCACCCCAAATAACATCCCTTGGGAAAGGAAAAATGGGCCGGGGGGGGGGGGGGGGGAAACAAATGTTATCTTCTTGGAGGCCTGAAGAGCGAGAACTAATACTTTGTTTGTACCTCCTTAGTCGAAGTGGTACAATCTACTAATTAGGGGTGATTAATTCAAGTCGGAGTGCATCTGCCTGAGAGGCTATCAACCATTAGTCTGCGTACAGATAAGTTACATCTGTGAAACGGAAAAGCATGCAGAACTCCATTCTGGAACAAGACCCAAGTCCAGCTGTGGGTGAACAAGCAAAACTTTCTGTCTGAGTTTACAACCAGTAAACGATAAGAAGAAGATCATCATCTTTGTCCTCGTCATCATCATCATCATTATCATCATCACCATCATAGTCATAACCATCACCATCATTATCATCATCACCGTCATCATCATCATCATCATCATCATTATCATCATTATCATAATCACCATCACAATCATCGTCATAACCATCTCCATCATTATCACTATCACCGTCATCATCATCATCACCACCACTATCATCACCATCATTATTTTTATTACCATCATCATCACCACCCCCACCATCATCACCATCACCAAGACCAACATCACCATCATTATCATCAGTATTATCATCATCATCATCATCATTATTGTCATCACCATCATCATCATAACATCCTGTTTATACGTCACATAGGGCTCGTTGTTTAACCCTCCTTTCCGTTTGAACCTGTTGCGTCAATTTAATATCATGCAGAGAATCCAAACCAGCACCCGTCTCGTCTAATAAAAGTGCGTCTCAATGTTTGTTTTGGATATCCTCATTTGCTTAACCCATTTGTTTTTAATTTTAGTGCAGGTTTAGCGATTCTGCATCCATTTATTCTCAAGATGTGACCACTATATTGTCATCTTCTTTGTCTTATTACCGTTCGATACAAGCCAGTAACCAGTATATTGACATCTTCTTTGTCTTATTACCGTTCGATACAAGCCAGTAACCAGTATATTGACATCTTCTTTGTCTTATTACCGTTCGATACAAGCCAGTAACCAGTATATTGCCATCTTCTGTATCTTATTACCGTTCGATGCAAGCCAGTAACCAGTATATTGTCATCTTCTGTATCTTATTACCGTTCGATGCAAGCCAGTAAACCAGTATATTGTCATCTTCTGTATCTAATTTTACCGTTCGATGCAAGCCAGTAACCAGTATATTGTCATCTTCTGTATCTATATACCGTTCGATTGCAAGCCAGTAACCAGTATATATTGTCATCTTCTGTATCTTATACCGTTCGATGCAAGCCAGTAACCAGTATATTGTCATCTTCTGTATCTTATTACCGTTCGATGCAAGCCAGTAACCAGTATATTGTCATCTTCTGTATCTTATTACCGTTCGATGCAAACCAGTAACCAGTATATTGCCATCTTCTGTATCTTATTACCGTTCGATGCAAGCCAGTAACCAGTATATTTGTCATCTTCTGTTCTTATTACCGTTCGATGCAAGCCAGTAACCAGTATATTGTCATCTTCTGTATCTTATTACCGTTCGATGCAAACCAGTAACCAGTATATTGCCATCTTCTGTATCTTATTACCGTTCGATGCAAGCCAGTAACCAGTATATTGTCATCTTCTGTATCTTATTACCGTTCGATGCAAGCCAGTAACCAGTATATTGTCATCTTCTGTATCTTATTACCGTTCGATACAAGCCAGTAACCAGTATATTGTCTTCTTCTTTGTCTTATTACCGTTCGATACAAGCCAGTAACCAGTATATTGTCATCTTCTGTGTCTTATTACCGTTCGATACAAGCCAGTAACCAGTACATTGTCATCTTCTTTGTCTTATTACCGTTCGATACAAGCCAGTAACCAGTACATTGTCATCTTCTGTATCTTATTACCGTTCGATACAACCCAGTAACCAGTATATTGTCATCTTCTGTATCTTATTACCGTTCGATACAAGCTGCTTGAATTTATACATTTCATATTCAAAATTTAAAAAAACATCTTTGATTTTTCTTTTAGATAATATATGCAACGATTGCAAAAGTAACCCGCTGTCTGCCATTTCTTCTATTTACACATAAGGAATTGTTTGGGGTATAACCTTACAGTTTAAAGTCTAGCGAATCGACTTCATGGCACCAGGTTTATTCCCATATACCTCGGTCTGTCACTCCTCAATACGGCTGACCGCCTGCCTAGATTGTCAC